TGTTCCCAACACATGTTGATATGGACATTTTTCTTTGTTTTGGTATGAAGAACTCGTGTCCATAGTTTGTCCGCAATTTCAGTTACACTCTGTATATAGAGTTTATATCCCTGTAAGAGAATTCCTACAGCCTGTGAACACCCCACCATAGTTTGTTCGCAATTTCAGTTACACTCTGTATATAGAGTTTATATCCCTGTAAGAGAATTCCTACAGCCTGTGAACACCCCACCATAGTTTGTTCGCAATTTCAGTTACACTCTGTATATAGAGTTTATATCCCTTTAAGAGAATTCCAATAGCCCGTGAACACCCCAGAGTACCTTCAATTCAATAAACTTATGTCGCCACAGGGTGGACAGTATTAATATCCCCCCCCCCAAACTAAACTTGCCCATTTAGTAATAAATCGGTCAACATTCCGCATGGGCACGTGCGCACCAGTCAGTTTATATACACGAAAGTAGACCCACTGAAAATTACACGGCATGGGAGATAAAATCTTGTAATGGAAGCGAAACTTCTTCCGCACTGAATTCAATTTCCATGTCGATTTCAGGACCACTTAAATGTCTATGATGACGCTATATCTGGAAACTGTGGCTCTGATAAGATGCAATCTCATTGCACGCGAAATGATCGAAACTTACAGCAGCAGAGACCGAGAGTCACAAAGCGAAAACAAATTAATTCGAAATATGGCCTGCGTTTACTCAACAATCAAATCGTAAACTTTCAATACTGGGGGGAAAAATAAAACAGAAATACGGGTCTAAAGGAAGCTCTTCTAAATAAGAATGTTTCGTGGAAGTGACAGCAGAGAAATGACTGTTGGCAGACACATCTACCGATATAATACTACGTACATCGACAAGCTCAGATAATGTAGCATCGCAAGATTTCATTATTGTGAATTGTGAACTGGAAAGGATGAGAAAGGTAAGGGTTATGTCATAATCTATGGTAATATCCAGACATTTTCGTGGAGTTAACGGGAGCCGGGATAGCGCAGTCGGAATAGGGAATGGTTACGGGCAGGACCGCCGAGGGGTTAGAGTTCGAGTGGCGGTAAAGCCAAGAATTTTCTCTTCCTCACGTCGTCCAGACTGGCTGTGGGGTCCCCGGGAGCAAATTTGCCGGGGCGTGAAGCTGACCACTCATTTCCAGTTAGTGCCGAGGTCAAGAAAATGTAGATCTATACATCCACTCCCCCATACGTCCTCATGGCGTAGTGCTTAATTAGTCGAACAGAGGGACAGCATTACCTACAACCACGAAAACCTTCGTCGAGACAGCCGATGCCTTGACGGAGGTTCGATTCGAATACCTCCTTAATGCCAGAAGCGTTATCGACTGAGCCACATCTTTCGGTCTGTAAGTTGGCTTCAATGTTGTAACGGAACTTGGAGTAGAAGTTCAGACTCCTTAATATTATATCCATCACACGACGCTTCATCTGCACTAAGGCCCTGGGGACGAATCAGCCTCTAACAGAAATGAGTACCAGGAATCTTCCTGGGGATTGAGGGCGGGCGGCGCGTAAGACTGATAATTTCACCGCTGTCTGTGAGTCGATAGTCTACAGATAAAGTGGGAGCCTCGACGTCTCACAACCAGATGGACTTTCACGGCCTGTTACAGGAATAGCTTTTACCATTCACTCACTCGTGGAGCTGAGCTTTTCTTGAGAAGCTGCCAACTGTGCTGCTATTCAAGAACTTCCAAGAATTTTATGGAAATCGAAGGTTCATTACCGTGTTCACAAGAGCCCTTCACCGATCCCTATCCTGAGCCAGTTCGATCCAGTCCATGCCATTTCATCTAAGATCCATTTTAATATTTTCCACCCACTTACGCCTTGGTCTCCCTAATGGTCTTTTTCTTTTTAGCTTTCCCACCAATATCCTGTATGCATACCGCTTTTCTACAATTCATGCTACATGCCCTGCCCATCTCATCCTCCTTGACTTCATCATTCTAATTATAGTTGGCGAAGAGTACAAGTTATGAAGCTCCTCATAAAGTACTTTTATCCGACCTCCCGTCACTGCATTCCTCTTCGGTCCAAATATTCTCCTCAACATCCTCTTCTCGAACATCCTCAGTCTATGTTCCTCTCTTAATGTCGGAGACCAAGTTTCACACCCATACAGAACAACAGGAAAAATTATAGTTTTGTACGAGTATATTCTAATTTTTACCATTACGTTTCAGAGCTTAAGCGAACTTAGACCAGTCCACTTTCTCAAACTTACCCCCGCAGCTGTATGAAGGCAGATTTTCTGAGAGATGCATATGAGAGATGTATAGTGAGTACACTTAATAAAACGATACTAACAAGAATAAAAACATATAATCTTAGAACACCACCCTATGCTGAAGCTAAAACAAGAGGTAAAATTGTTCCTGTGCTTAACCAATTAAGCACCACGCCAGGAAGAAGTATGGGGCAGTGGATGTATAGACCAAAGTTTCCTTGACCTCGGTACTAGATGGAGGTCAGTGGCTTGCTTCACGTCCAGGTCGTTTTACCCGCGGGAAAATGTCCCCAGTACCCATTGAGTATGAGGCTGGGTTGGCCCCAGAGCCGGTCTGAAAGAGATGGAAAAGTGAAAATTCTTAAAAACTCCGACCCCTCTGTCATCCATCCCGTAGCCACTCGCTATACCGTCTGTACTATCCCCGCTCTAATACCCGCTGTGGTAAATGAACTATAATTCCGAGACGAGCAAACTTAAAAGTTGTGGTATCATTTACGGGTTCATTGCCTCAATAGCGAAATCCCTGCCTGATAATATATCGGAAAATCTCGTGGCAATTAAAGGTTCATGTTTCCCAGGAAATTATACAGTCGTTGTTGTTGTTATCCTTCCTTCTGCTATCCCCTCCTTTGCTTTCCCTCGCTTTATATCGCTCTCATGTTGCGTAGCTCAAAGCCTTCGAGAAAATAATGTCAGCTCAGAAAGAAAAGAATAATCTTAGCATAAAATAGCAAAGTCTTTCCAACATCTGCTTAAATCTATACCATGAAGAATAAGGATATAGCAATACGCGTCTTGAACCTCTGTAATATAATTAGAAAATTGCCTCCATGCTCCATAAGTTTTCATGTTTTCAAGTCAGTGATCCTTCATATTGTAGCATGAAGACCCATTGCTAAGTAATGACTCTGTAAACATCGACCGTTGCTAGGCAACAGATACCTAAAACGCACCACTGCATTAACTGGGAAGCACTGTTCTCTACAAAATCCGTGGGACAGCTATGTGATAAAATAACAGAAAAATTGTTGAAACCGGTGTTTTCTACGCCGTCCTTGCCGTGGTATTATAAGCAGGACAAGTCTAGAATTTAGTTAGATGTGAGACAGTCGCCAGCAAGTAAGCTGAGGCATCTAAGGCGTTGGAAGCCGTTACCAGACAATGACTGGTGAAGACACAGCAGATTGAGAAGACTTAGTACGTGCTGTAGTGAATTGCAGAGTGTCTGAATTAGCGATAGCGCTATAGTGACTTGTAGTTACGATCTGTAGATGTTCAATAAATCCAATTACCAATCCAAACACCGTCAATAGTCTCTCCACAAAACGTGGTATCATGGTTTGGGTTGTTTTACCGTTTCACCTTGTAGACGGACAGTCACAATTCGGAAGAACACGCTGCTGCCACGTTCAGGATTAAATTATGAATCCTTGATGTCAGAGGTAGGATATTCCCCCGAAACGTAGGTGTCCGCCTACAAGCTACTGACAGCCTCGTAAAATATCAAACAGGAAATAATTTTTTAAACTGACTGAAAGTATTTCGTTTTGCAACAGCCTTGAGGGCAAAAATCTGTGTCTTTTGAAGTGTTCTCGACGTAGCTGTAAAACACCGAGCTGATAGCTAGTAAAGTGTATCTAGAAGGTAGAGACATTCAATTCCTGAAGATTTACGTGTATGAAAACTTTACGGCTGCACTGCGAGATTTATGAGTTATGAGAATAAGGTGCTGCCCTTCTCTTTAGAAGGAGTCTCGTGAATTTATTTTCGACAGAAATACATTTCAACGAAGCTTGTTTTTCCATTCTCATATAACAATTCTTATCTTACGCAACTTCCGAATTGAATCGTTCCAGTAAAACCGCAGAAACTGATAAACTGAAACGAAAAGTTTGCCACCAGATATGGAACTTCTACAAGAGCACTTTGAAATATCCAGTAAATATTGTAAACATTCCAAATTATGTTTCTAAAAATGGAAGCGGATTAACATTTCAGAATATTCACATTCATGCGATAATGTGCGGAAAGGCCGCGCCATAGCTCAAGCGGTTAGTAGCTGGCTTCTCACCGCGGCGGCCCGGGATCGATCCCGGGTCTGGTCAAGTGGGATTTCTGGTGGACAAAGTGGCGCTGGGGCAGGTTTTCTCCGAGTACTTCGGTTTCCCCTACCAATCTTCATTCCACCAATTGCTCCACAATCACCCTCACCTATCATCTGGGGCTGGTACAATAGGCCAGAAGTGACCGCAGTACAAGGGACTTAGTCCCACCCCACTAGCAATAAAAAAAATGCGATAATGTTAGCACACTTTTCTCGCTATTTTATATGACTGCACTTCTTTCCCGGATAAATTAATGTGAATTGACGGCAATTTACGAAAAGGTTCTCGAAAATATTGTGGCATGTAGACCCTTGCTAAGCAACGGGCCCAAAATAAGCAGCTGTACAATAGTCGTTGCTGAGTAACGATTCTGTAAACAACGGTGGTTGCTAGGTAATGGCCTTAACAGACATGCACGCTTCAAAAGAAAAGATGTTGGAAGTGGTGTTCTCTGTGCGGTCCGTGCCCAGGCTATATAATGAGGGACAGCTGTCATTAGAAGAGCGTCATAAGACGGCATTGAGAAGAGTAGGAGGTTGCTATGAGATAGCTGCCAGTCTGGGCGTCAGTCAGTGGAGTGGAGTGAGCTGGTTATCACAACTGGGGCAGTAACCAATATAAAGTTTAAACTGACCTATTAGACTACAGCGCAGTGTTCGAGACTCTGATTATGATCGGCGTTCTCTCTCCATCCTTCGACTTTGACAACACATGGTGTTACACGGGCTGCTCTGTAGGCTTCGCTCCGAATGTGGCCACAGGCAAGACAGAAGGCAGCGGTCTGAAAGAAAACACAGTCATTGTACTTCACAGAATCGAACGGGTAGCCGGAGATGAAATAACAACCTACAGATCGGATATTGCGAGACGTGATGATCTTCAGTCTATACGGATTAATGAACCCAGACAGATCCTAATTTCGGACTGTACTCACCGAGGTTTTACAGGCTTTTCTTCATCATCTCCAGTAAATGCAGGAGTAAGGCAAAACAAAAAGGTAAATGCCCTGTGCTTAACTAATTAGGCACAATGCTATGAAGATGTATGGGAAAGTGATGAATAGATCCACCTATTCTTGATCTCGGAACTATTTGGGAGTAGTCAGCTTCATGCCCCGGCCGCTTTATCCCGAGAAAAGAGCCCTCGGTACCCACTGGATTGGAAGCTGGGTGCCCCCAGAAATGGTCTGGACGACGTTAAGAGGAGAATAATCTTGCCCCTACTGGGACTCGAACTCCGAACCCTCGACCATCCAGCTGGTAACCAGTCGCTATACGGACTTCTCTTTCAAATGCAGGGGTAACACTTTGAAATAGGCTACGACTGTATCCTTCAAATTGCTTTTCTATTCAGAATTTATGACCATTCACGTATCTTAATAGCAGATAGACTACAATAAAGTGCCGTTAAGTAAACTAAGAATCAGTCTACACAGAAGGATGAGCCATGCTACCTACGCAGAAATGGAATTTCCTGCGGCAGCTAACGTAGACTGACCCGCATCTCATACATGCCAGAGAAGTGGTCGAGGAGTCACGGCGATGCGCCCATTTTCGTTTCTCCTTTTCCCGAGACATGGAACCCAACAATCCTACCGGAGAATTGTAATATATGTATATACGTATATCTATGAATCAGTTGTCAACATTTAAAATACACTGTTCATTCGCAGGGACTTGCCACAAATAAAACCATAATGGTTACTTCATTTCTTTAACAACACGCTTTCACCTAATCGCGTTGCAAACGATATGGTTTTTTTTAATTCGCTTAGTTGGGGTGGAGTCCAACTGGGTCCACTTGGCACGGCGGCCACTGATTGGCCTATTGTAGTCTGCCCCGGGTGATTATGATGATGGAGAATTTGGTGGAATGAAGATTGGCAGGGGAAACTGAAGTACTCGCAGAAAACCCGCCCCAGCGCCATTTTGTGCACCACAAATTCCACTTGACCAGACCCGGGATCGAACCCGAGCCGCCGCGGTGGGAAACCAGCGACTAACAGCTTGAGCTATGGCGCGGGCTTATATGATATAGTTACCATCATCGCAACTCCATGGAGCTGATTCCTTGTAATGCCAACCATCGCTCAACTGCACAAGAAATTCCTAGCGTTTTAAGGAATTTGAAGGTTCATTTCCATGTCAATAAAAGTCCACCATTGGCCCGTATCCCAAGCCGGTCTCCTAAACGCTGTATTCTTTTAGATTCTAAACGGTTCTGACGATGTTGTATAATACTCAGAATTACTGGGGTTTTGGACTTTCCATCGTTCGGTATTCTACAGAATAGAAAACACGGCAGTTCGGAAACTGGGTCCGTTTTATTCCTCGGGTGAGTCGGGAAGACGTCTACTCAGTTGGGTCCCTTAGAAAGCGTAACCTCGATCACTGGACAACCCCTATCAGATTCTCACAGACATTTAATCACCTGATACCAGGCTAATTCGGCGGGAGATAAAAGGAAAATATGCAATAACAATTGTGACAGAACACGCAAATGCCTGGAACTAGGATGAAAAAGGAGATAGAAATTTGTGCTATAAATCTAGCCAACAAAACCAAGTGCATGAGCACCAATGCAAAGAAATGTTCTTTTGTGTTTTTAGAACACCAGACGATGGACAAAAAAAAAGAGCAATCATGAGTGCTACTCTTCACTGCCATAACCCTTTAGCATCCACAGGTGATTCCATAATACTTAATATCCAATTACCATTATTCTCTCATCTACGCCTAGGTCTTCCGAGTGGTCTCTTTCTTTAGGTTTCTACCATATCCCTGAATGCATTACTGTTCTCTCTCATGAGTGCTACTTGTTCTATTATTACATACATGGCAGCTTCAGGAAAAGAAACGTAAGTGCACTAGCGGCCCAGACGAAATGCAGTAAACTCTCGTTACAACGTACCCGGATATAACATAAAAAATTTTGCTGCGTATGATTATGAATTTTTAGACATGTCGAGACAATAAAGTTTTCAAGTTAGAAAAGTATATAAAACAAAAAAGAGCCCCAATATAAAAACCTTTATATAATGACAACGTGTATCTGTTTTATTATGTGTACTGGGTATGTATCTTATGGTGTAATTCTGTGAATACATCTTCACTCGCTTATAGCGGACATCGGCGGTAACGGGCGCCTTGCTCCCTTATTAGTCCGCTATAATGAAGGTTTACTGTACATCGATTACGTCGAAACAGATTTTACTGGTTGGACGGATTTAACTGTTGTCTGGTATTGAGTTATCAACAATGGCCTATCGAGCAACAGTCGATTTCGTTCTTAAAGTAACATAGCCAATAGTATATAAGAAAATGTGTGCAATATCTTCGCATAGAATTTTTAACCTTAAAATGGATGGTACACTTAGCAAACACTGTGCTTTCAAGGTTTAAGAATATAAAAAAAATTCTCTCCATAACCCGGAATACAGATAGACCAACAACCAAATTAACATAGCAGTCGCGAGCCACATTCGACCCTCAAGCCCTATTTTTACCAACAACAGAATAACTTGAAAGCCGTCACTGACTTCAGCATGTAATGGATGATTTCGAAACGTTCTGAAGCTAATTAATATGAACACCAAGCCGCGGACTCTGCTGCCAGCGTTATTGTTTTCTCGGCCGTGTTGGGGCTGCAGTAAATACCAGGTACATGTTACGCTGTGACGTCAGAAAACTTGTTTAAAGTATGGTCACGTGTTTCTGTTGGACTATACTATATGAATAAGGAGATATAAGGATTTGGACCACGCGCACACGACACATTTCGCTTGCTTCGGAAAGGAAGTTCAAACGCATCGCTGAATTGTCTGACATGTAAAGTTAAGTTCCTTTCCCATTAGCGTTAGCGGCGGGCCATATCGAACCATTAATCAACTAGTTCAATATACTGTCCGGTAAATATAGTTCATATTCATGAAACAAGTGGCAACAATATCCATCTTCTCTCACTGAGATTTTGTCTCGATGCAAAATCATATAGATTCAGATCCATTAATCCTGAAGGCCACATAACCAAGGTTTATAATTATGTTGTCAAATACTTCCTGCAACACAAGTATGGAACTACGTGCCGTATGAGATGTGATACTGTCACGTATTTAGGGTCGTGACCAATAATAACGCGTTCTGAATTGCATGACTATATTTATTGAAATTTCTTTTACAATCACTCTTAACCACAAACAATTTACAATATCTCACAATCCGTCTTCTAAAATTGCCTTCATTAGTCGTTGTTTGGTAACGGGTCTCAACAATGGAGATTCTTCAGCTTCCGTGCTCACGACCTTGCCCGCTGGTTAACACTCCACAACTGAAGTCACAACTGAACTCATTTACTGAACTGAACTTCCAATTATTTTTCACCTCTCGTTATATAAATTCGGGTAGTACCTCGCGGAAAACACGTGTCACGTGTCAGAATGAGTGTTCATTGGTTCGTTACCCAGCCCTGGGTATGGCGCGGACCACATAGAAAACACATCTTCCAATACCTTTTCTATTGATACCTGCGTGTATTTCGGGCGTTGCCTAGAAACGGGTCCACATGCCACAATATCTTTTGAAAATATCCAAGAGAACTTCGAACGTCCAACTTACTGTACAATATGCACGGTAAGTTTTCCATATGTCGTCCTTGGGGGAGGGGATACCTTGCGACCCAATCAATGTCTAGATTATACAGGGCCGAGTAATAGGATGACCTGAGAATGATGAATTTGAAAGGATCTGGAAGTAGTGATAGTAGCCTAATGAAGGTACCATACAGGATTATGCATTGGGGGGAAAAGATAAAAACCCCAAAAACCTCCATCAGGATAACCCGTGTCTCGGCTGATTTTCTAGTCGAACACCTCACGAAAACAATTCCGGAGAGTTTCCTCTATACAGACGTGTTGCGAAATTAAAAAATTCCCCACCAATTCAGTACAACGCCTAGACTTCTTCCGAGATGTATCGGACGTTTGGGAGCCCACATATCGGCTAAATAAAAAGGTGTTTTCTTTATAACATTCTAATTTGAATTCAGCATCAGTCAAACCGTTGTCAATGGACGAAATTCTCGTAACGTCTTATACTTTTCTGTATTTATAGCAATGAACGTTCTGGTTTCGTAGTAGCAAATTTCTCGACTAACTGAACAATCAAAGATGTAAGTCTACTAATATCAATATGCATTTTAAAACACTTAAAATGTTATCTTGAAGACATAATTATTCTCTTTATAAAGAGCGTGATTTGTCTACGGAATAGGAGCAATTGTCAGTACAATTATCATGAGGCATCAGTACTGGACCAACATGGATACTTCTCTTACCTTATTTCCAGTAAAAAGACACGAACAATGATATTAAGTTATTTATATCAATGCTGTAAATTTATCTCATCACATCACGTAAGTTAATAGGCTTAAGCGTACAAATTCTGTCTTCCTTTAATTTAGTTTGTTTGTATGTCTTTTTCTCTCTCTCTCTCTCTCTCTGTCTCTCCTTCTTTTGCCGTGTTCTTTTCTATGCCCGCATGTTTCATCTTTTCGTCTTGCATATTCTATCATGTTTTAAGAAAAAACAAAGGCTCTAGTTTAGTGATTTTTTGTATCAGACTATACTGCGTCACATCTCACATGACAGTACACTTCTTCACATAAATCTCACTTAAAAGCAATGTCCATAGTCTCTCGACAAACCTTAACCGTTACGATACATTACACTATACATTACGGTTATTTTAAAGTGGGCCTATTCTGAATCATTCCTAAGATTATAAA